TGTAACTTTTGGTTACCTATTTAAGTAGTCCGCCCAAGGGTTCTACACTAGCTGCCATGTCTGTAACCTACTAGGAGAGTACCTATTTAAACACTCTGATTCTTATACTACACCCAGGCGAGTAACACCTGGTTCCCATACAACTAAGTGCCATCTAACCCAACATTTGGCTTCTCCATTTGTACATCTGTCAAGCCGTTAAACATTTCAGAATACGTCATCTGACTGTAAGGTTCTGGGGTACCCTCTTGTTAATTACCTACCCACTCTACAGAACATTAACAAGGCTAGCCCTTGTAGAGTTCACCCAAACCCCAGCACCTACTTCACAACATATCCCTAGTACTTATAGTATACCCCTGCTTTGTCCCCAGACTTTCAATCCAGATAGCCCAGTAGGACTGTAACCTGTCCTTAGTATATCGAGTTGGCCCGATATCCTTTTTCTCTGATTCGGTTCCGGTGGCCTAGTTGGTGATACCTCTCACCTGAGGTTCTTGCCTGTCCAGCTTCTCCACATTGGTATCCGTTTCCTAGGTCTAGCCTTTACAGTAGTACCGTTGAAGATCTGTATTACCTCTCTACTCGGGTCTTTCCAAGTGGGCTCCAGTTTCCCAGTTCTACGATTTATACGGCCATAGGGACTTATTTTAGGTTTGCACCACCCAGTACCGGTTCGCATTCCTCTGTGTAACCAAGGTTACACAGATGCCCTGTGACATGCCAGTCATGCTGGTGCGACCATAGTTACAGATGTCCTATCCCAACTGATCGACAGAATGCCGTCGCCGTAATACCGTCTATGTATTATATAGATGATTATTCAAATTTTCGTCGTCGGTGGGTTTTGAACTCACAACCTACCACTTGGGGGGTTGACAACTTATCCACTTCACTAAGTTGCCACACCCCTTAAATATTTAATTCTATTTATATCTTTTTATATATTTTATATATTTATTTAAGCATTAAATGAAGAAAGCAAAAATAAAAAGTCTTCAACTTCATCTACATCTTATCTATTCATATCACATTTTTCTACATCTTATCTATTCACATCGCATCCTTTTATATCTCATTTATCTGCTTTATATCTCTCTACATCTTATTTATTTATTAAAACTAATGCTAATAAACAATCATCATTAGTTGAATTTGTTTAATGACCATTGTCAATAAATGATATTCTAATTTTTGAAAATTTAATATTGTGCATGATAGTTTCTAATAATTTACTATTTAGTTTTATAGAAAATTCTGAACATAAGATGTTTTTAATTTTTTAGCATTAACTGTTAAATTACCAGATTGCCAAGCACTTAGTAATCATATTTTAACTAAAGCTAGTTAAGAACTAAATAATACTATACTTAGTAAAGTTCAAAAAGATTTTGTTAAAGTTATTGCTATATTTGATGGTTGGAAAAACATAAAACATAAGCATTTTTTTGGAATAGTATTAATTACATCAGAAGGTGATGCTCTTATTTGGAAAGCATATGATATTAGTTCTAAGCACTCAAAAACTGAAAATGTTATTGCATATATAAAAAAAATTATAAATGATGCTGAAGAAAATGGTATAAAAATCAATTGTTTTGTTTCAGATTCAGCTGAAGAGTATGCTGCAGCAAGGTATTAATCTTTTATATTTAATTAAATAATTATTTATATTATTATTTATTTAAAATTAATAAAATTAGTTAATTTTTAAATAAGACATGAGTTGCACAGAGAATATATAAATAAAATATTTTTTCCTTGTATGGCCTACCAGATGAATTTGGTTATAGGTGATATATTTAAAAAATCAGATATATATTTAGAAATATCTAAAAAATCAATTTGTATTATTAGTTATTTCCATTTTTCAACACTATTCAGTGGGCATCTATGTAATGAGCAAAAAAACTTTTATGAAAAAACAATAAGTTTACTTCATCCAGATAATACTCAGTGGATCAGTTACTATTTTTGCTTTCACAGTATTTTGGAAATTGAAAGAGCACTAAAGGTTTATTTTTGAATATTTATTATATAAATTTAAAGATATTATTTTCACTAATACTTATTTCACTTAATAAGCATATTTTTATGGATGTTTAATTGACAAACATAGACAGTATATTTCACTGACAGCTCATTTTGCTGACAAATTTTTTATAAGCTGTACTAACCTTAACTTTATTTATTAGCCTAATACTAATAATGACCAGAATTGCTTTGTCTGCAAAATGAGCTGTTAGTAAAATATATTATCTATAAAATGGACTTGTTTATTAATTAATCATTTGTAAAAATAGGCTTGTTAGTGAAATGAGTGTCTGTAAAATGTGGTATCTTCGAAGTAATTGATCATGAGTTGATTGAAACTGCTTTTTATTTTATATATAAAAAATAATAATATATATATATATTAGGCTTTGGCTGCCAAATTTGCTCCATCATACCTTGAAGAAAATCACCAATGTTCAGATGAAATTGCTTTGCTAAAAGATATACTTAATATTATTAATGATCAGAGCTTTTGGACTAAGTTATATGAACTTTAAAATTTAATTTTTCCTATTTGTGATATGCTAAATAAGTTGCAAAAAGATATCATACATCTTCATGAAGTTGTATATTGTTTTGCATATTTGATTAAACCATTTGATAATCATACTAATTCTGAGTTTGGCTTAGCTATAGTAAATTGTTTAGAAGCTCATTGGTTTCAATAAAAGCAGTCATTACTTCTTCTTTCTTTTGTACTTCATCCAGATTATATGCTATTCAAATTTAACCCATCTGTAACTTATCTTATCTGAACTGATTGGGCCTTATGGATTAATTATTATTATGAAGCTTGGTTTAAAACACAACCAACATCTATTTTATCTAAGCTTACATTTTATAAAAAAAACAAAAATCACTATTTAATTCTTTATTTTGACAGCAATTTAATGGCAATATTGTAGATTTTTGGGATTCAGTTTCTGATAAAACTCCTGAATTATTCTGATTTTCTATTCATTTATTCTCAGTTTGTATCAATTTGGCCTTAGTAGAAAAATTATGGTCTGCAATAGGAAATTTATATATACCAAAAAGACATAATTTAAAGGTAAATTACATCTATAACAATATCTTTATAAATATGCACATTTAAAATTAGACTATATGTATATACTTAGAGAGCATGTACATATAATCTCTAATTAGCTACTATATAAATAAAGGTATTTTAATATATCTAAGACATAAATTACTATACATATAAAATATAAAGAGTGTGCACTTATAGAAAGTTATTTATAAAGATATTATTATAAACTTAATAATATTATATCTAGAACTATATGACATTAGCAATGGCACAATTATACAGTAATATTTTAAGAAAGCATAAGATTAAGCAAGCAGAATTTCATCAAAATGATGCTAAGAAAAGGCATATTGCAGGACCTATTAATAATGAAAGTTCCTCTTTAAGCCAAGATATTGATAGAAATAATATACAAATTATTGAAGAAAATAGTTCCGAACAAGAATTAAATTTAGAATTAGATAATTCTAATACTATCATTGAAAACAAAGCACAATGGGAAAGGCTTGTAACAAATTGAATTGAGTTAGTTAATCAAGAAAAGAATTTTGATAATAATAATGATATTTATATTGATGATCAATTTGATTTAAATTTTAATTTTGGTGAATGTGATATTTATCTGGCTGATGATGAAAATGCAAAATAGTCACTTTTAACACTTTTTAATAATTCTTTAGATGCACCAATGTTGTTAAATAAATTAGTTAAATAATTTATTATTTTATATATATATATATATATATATATATATATATATATATATATCTATGAGTTAGCCATTTAACTAAGAATAAAATATTTGAATTAGGTATCAAGATTTAAACATAGCATTAGAAATTATTTATCTTTTATTATAAATATATTTAATCAAAAAGTATTGCATTTCATGACATTATTTATTATTATTTTGAACTATGCTGACTGATAGGTTATATCATTTTTATTTATTTATTAAGATTTGCAAATGCATGATAGAGAAGTGAGTTTGCCAGAATGACATTGACATCCTATTATAAAAGCAAACATGATTGCCTAGGAATTATTGCAATGAACAACTAATAGTTTTCCAATTACTGTAGCAAGCTAGTTGTGAGTGAAAGAATGATAAAATCATATATCTTGTAGTCTGGTGTGGCTTGGATGGGTCATGAGAATTTTTTTTGTTCTGATGATTAAGTCATATTGCTCTATAAATTTTATACTTACTGGTTCTTATCTGGGCATTTTCTGCTGCAAGATCTTTTCATCTTGCATGCGTTATCTGCAATTGCATTTAATCTTTCTATGCTGTTATCAGGTTTAATTATTAATTTCCCACTATTTTAATGTAGTTACTTATTTAAGCGAGCAATACAAACTATTAAAAAGGAGATGGCCAATTAGAAAGCACAAATTTTGACACATATAAAAGTATAAAAAATGAAATGAAAGCAAAAAATAATGTTTAAACTAACCTTGGCTCACTAATTAAAATGACAAGAAGGAAATTTTTCATTTAATAAGTGCTATTCTATTGCTATAGTCTCTTCTACTAATGCCTTAACCCTAACTTCTATCATTACATGCTTAGTTTATTTGATGAAATTTAATTTCCTTTTTTGGTTTGTATTACTTACAAAAATAAGTAAAATTCATTTCAGCTATTCATAAAGATTGTTGTTCCTTTTTCAGAAAGGCAGTGGCTAAGACATTGTAAAGCTGCCTTCCTTTTCAATCACATGGTTATCATCACTTCACATGAAATAACTGAATTGCATTAAAAAGATGATTCCTACAATGCAATCAACTAATATAAATAATGTCTGAAACAGAATGATAAAATCACAAAGTGCATGTATCTAATGTTTTTATAAACAAAACTTCTATACAAAATGTTCACTATTTGTAATTTAATAATTTGTAATATGTATTAACTGAACATTTTAATTGGTACAATATGGTATAATATTATTTATCATTTGCTTTCCAAATAACAAAGTGACAAATAACAATATCACAATATTATTTGTGTCATTTAAAAGTTATTTGTTAATACTGATCATACTAGCATAACTAGCAGGTTATAAAGCATTTGTGTAAGTCACATAACATTGTTCTTTGGAACAAGGTCTGTGGTTATACAAAGAAATGCAAACTAGCAATTGGGTAATACAAACACTAAATAAGTTCTTGTAATTATATAAATCTGTTGAAATTGGATAATAAGAAGTTCATTTAAAAAGATCTAAGTAAAAAAATAGCTGGATCTTTAATAGTGCTACTGTAAAGACTAGCTTGAAGAAACAAATACTCAGGTCTTTGTAACTGAATAGACAAGAACCTCTGGGTTGTGAGTCTTAGAAGTACTACCAACCAGGTTACTAGAATGAATCAGAGAAAAAAGATATTAGGCTGATCTAATATATCAATGAACTAGTTGTAGTTCTATATAGGCCATCTGAATTGGGAGTCTAATAAAATTCAGAAGTATACTAAAGTACTAGGTTATGCTGTGAAGTAGATGCTAGAGTTTGAATAAACTCTATAAAGGCATTGTAGTTTAATAATTAAGTCTTAATTACAAGTATTAGTTTTGCTATAGTAATATCTAAATTAGCTGTAAAAATAAATACAAAAGGTTCTGAAGAGTTTACCTCGAGGATAAATTAGTCCTAAGGTTAAAATGATAATTTGGGCATCTGAGTATAATCTAGTAAGTTAGTACAGATTATAGGTTCCAAGCAGAGGTATTAGATATAGCAATTGGTAGGAACCTTTGGGCAAACTCCTTAAATAGGTAATATAAAAAAGTTACATATATAGCCAATTGTACACTCTTTTGTAGTAGTTCATTGAACCACAATACTAATAAGTAATTAATAAAAGTTAAAAGACCAAAAAAGTCATCTTAACACTAAAAAAAAAATAAACTTTAATTCTTAATAATTTTTTTTTGAATATCTCTGTTGTTATTACAACTAGAAGTGCAGATGGTGTTCTTTTATTAAGATATTATAAATAACTTAGTTATTTTTTAGATATTTATATATTAGTTTAAAAGATTTAGATTTAGTACTAAAAAAGTTATTTTTTAGAATTTATATTTCTTTTAAAATACAATTTCTAATAAGAAAGTTTAAAGAGTTAAGAGATATGTCTGAATTTTTCATTTTACAAAAACATATTAATATTATATTTTATAGATTGCAATAATGTGTAACTAGGTCAAAGCTGTTAGAGCTTGAGGACAAGTATTATTAAAAGCTTAAAAGATATTATCTAGTATGAATAGTATAGATATTTCTTTATTAATATTAAGAAAACTATATGCTTTCTTTTAAATTATTATACTTCAAGAGCATTCTAAAGTGTTTTATAGTTTGTATTTTATCTAAATATCAAGTACAGTTCTTTGTCTCTGATGATTCAATGTATTTTAATCAATAGTCTAGCAAAAGTGCTTTGTAAAAAAGATATCAAAAAATATCTTTTTTTTTATTATAAACAGACTTTAAAAAAAGCCAAATATGCTGTAGCATTAGTGAAAATGTTTGTAGTATAGTTAATGAAAATAAAGATTCTTTTAAGAGTTTTAGAATCTTTTTAACTAAGGGTTCATCTTTTTTTAATTTTTTAATTCTAATTTTATTACTATTATAAAGCCAATTAAAAGTATAAAGAACATTGCTTTTAATTCTTGTCCAGGTCTTTAAATAGGATTTCTATTCTGAAAGCTAGGCTTTTATATTTGTATTGTCAGAATTTAGTGCCTGAGTAGAAGAAATGTTCTTCTATCACTAAGTATTGATTGTATTTTATTTTTTTCATATATTACTCACATGGAGTTAGATATAAAAAGTCTTATACAAACTGTAATTTGGCAAGCATTTAGTATATCTTTAATAACTAAGACTTAAAGATCTGCTAATTCTGTTAATTGCTAAAAGATGAAATATCTAGAAAGCATTTATGATGTATTTTTGATTCAAAGAGTTATAATTCTGTTTATTTCTGCTACTTGCTTTCTGTTTAGAAACAGCAAATAAGCTAAGTACCAAACTTTAGATAAGATAAGTAACTTTGTAATTAAGATTTTCTTTTTAAAAAAGAGATTTCTGTTTAGAAGTTTGTCAAGAGATCTTTTTAGCTTATTAAGTGATAGTTTAGAAATTTTTTTTTAGTTGTTTATTAGTAAGGATATTATAACCCAAAATAGTAATAATTTCTTGTTCTTCTATTTTAATAAATTGGTTTTAATTTTAGTTCTATTAATTTTTGCATTTGAAGCTGCTTATATAGGCTTAGTGCTATTATAGTTTTGTTCTAGTCTGTAGATGACCCAATTCCTATTGTTAAATTGTTTGCATAAGTAAAAGTCTTAAAAAACTGATTTTTCAGTTTTATATTCTTAATTGACTTTCTAAGTTTCTTATTAAAGGCTCTAAGACTAATATATGAAAAAAATAAAAAAAAAGAATCTTCTTATTTAATACTTCTTTCTACTTGAAGTAGTTTAGAAATAGTTTTAGCATTTATAATATGAGTCTCTTAATTGAAAAAAAGATTATATAATAGGTTTATAAACTTATGACTTATGATTAAAGTTCATATTCTTTAAAATAAGTTTTAAAAATTATAATTAATATAATTAAATACTTTTTGTTAGTTGATAAGAAGTAATTAATATTGTTTAGAAGGATCTAATTGGTTTCTCAAAAGAGTAATAATATCAAGAACTGCATCAGTAATAGATCTGTTTTTGATAAATTTATATTATTAGTAAGGTACTATCTTATTACATATAAAGTTAAGATGATTAGCCAAAATCTTTATAAAAATTTTAGCATTACTATTTACTAAAAATATTAGTCTTTAGTTATTTACATTTTTAAGGTTTTCTGCTTTTTGAATATTAGTAAAATTAAACTTTTATACCAAGAAATTGACATAACTCCTGAACTAAAAGCATAATTAAAAATATCATAAAGAACTGATGTTATTACTTCTTTAGTATAAAACTCATATATTAGTTCATCTGTACTAGAAGCCTTATTGTTTGAAAGATTTTTGATTATATTGCTGATTTTCTCTTGTATAATTTCTTGCATAAGAGTCAAGTTATATATAGAGGAAATTCATGATAAGTTTTCTATAATTTTTTCTGCTAAATTGATATCTATATTCTCTTTTTTGTAAATTTCTGCATATTTATCTCTTATATAACAAAGCATATCTTTATATCTGGCAAAAAAATATTTTGTAGATTTTTTACCTTGTTCAATCCATTGAGCTTTAGAACAAGTTTGCTATTTTTTAGCAAACTAAAATAGCTCTTCTTAAAGGTTTGAGCTTAGTATATCAATTTGTGAATGTAGATAGTTGTTTTTAGAATTATATACTAGTCTTTCTTTTAGTTAAATAATGTTTTTGTTTAGTTTTATAATTTTGTTTTCTGTTGCTTTAGGGTTTCTAAAAACTCTAATACTAAATTGTATATATATTTTATGAAAGTTCTAATCTTCTGTATTTTCTAAATCT